CCTCCCAGAGAGCTAGGATTACAGGCGTGAGCCACCTAGAGAACAGAACGTTGTTTAATGTAGATAGTAAAGGGTGGTGGTGTGCATAGTGGTAAAAACACAGATGTGGAATAAGACAGATGTACTGCCGTTACCAGCTGTGTGCCCTTGGGAGAGTTACTTAACTTCTCTGAGCACGGAAGATGGCAGCCACCTCTTCCAGGTTTGCCAGACATAAATGAGATGATACGTGTTAAAGCGTTGTGCCCCGGACCCTCATCAAAATGAGAACGACACAAGAACTAAACGGTAGGGATTATTGTGTTGTTGAGGTCCTTACTGCGACAGACAGGAGAGGAACACAAAATGAGTTAGGAGAGGGTTTTTTGTTTTGTTTTGTTTTTGAGACAGAGTCTCACTCTGTTGCCCAGGGCTTTTGCGCAGGAAATGAGCAAAGAGCAGGAGCAGGGCTTGAAGGAAGGAGCCAAGGCCTGAGGGCAGGGAGGCCGTGGGCGGGTGTGAAGCTGCCCTTTAAGCAGGAGGGAGCCCGGCAGATGCCTGTGACCTGAGCTTCCTGCCCACCCGCCCTTTGCAGGAGGGCCCCACGGCCGGGGGTTAACGGAGTCGGAAAGCACGGACTTCCCCCTGGAGCCTCAGTTTCTCCGCCGCGTGCCCCCTGGGGGTGCGGCGGGGTGGGCCAGGCTGTCCACAGCCCCGGCCTGAGCGGAAAGCACGGACTTCCCCCTGGAGCCTCAGTTTTCCACCGCGTGCCCCCTGGGGGTGCGGCGGGGTGGGCCAGGCTGGCCACAGCCCCGGCCTGTGCTTCTGCTCACGGCCCGGTTTCTCCACTCACAGATCTCCGGCTCTGGGGCTGTGTGGACACGCTTCCGTGGCTGGTGGGAGCGCGGACACGCCCGCCCGCGCGCGGGGTGGGCTGGGGGCCAGGCGCGGCCGAGCACATCCGGGCCCCTCAGAGCCTTCGCGGCCTGACGTCCCGGCGCCACTTTCCCTCCTCCCACCTCCTCACGGCCGCCCCTAAGTCTCAGAAACCAGTAAAGGGCTCGACCTTGCTTGCTTTTATTGACCGGGTTAAGATTGGTGACTCTGGTCATCGCCATTTTTAAAAATCGCTGTTTGGGAAACTACTACAGTGGACAGTTCTTCCGTGAGCTTCGATAAGGCGGCGTGTGGGGTTCCTAGGTCGGAGTCAGTCCGGTGAAATTTGTGTCTGTGCATCCTGAGTCCACCATGTGGAGAGACACGAGACCCCAGAGCTGGCGACACAAAGACGCCCTGGCCCGGGGAGGCTGAGTTACTGCTGTCTTCCAAGACCGTTTTGGTAACGGCACAGTGGAGTGTTTACCTTCAGACGTGTGTGTGTTTGTGTGGCTCTTAGAAGGAAACTTTTTAAGGGAGTTTACAATTCCTTTACTGGCGGGATGGGAGCATCAGAGGAAGATTCCAGAAAGAAACATAAAACCAGAGAGAAAGATTAAAAACTGAGAGGTTCACCTGCTCTCCTTTCAGGGGAGATTGTCTGGTTTTTGTCAACTGTAAAACTTGGATTTGTTGGCCGGGCGCGGTGGCTCACGCCTGTAATCCTAGCTCTCTGGGAGGCCAAGGCAGGTGGATTGTTTGAGCTCAGGAGTTCAAA